CTAACACATTCTAGCCTAATGCTTTATAAATTCTACAGTTCCTCTCGGCTGTCCCAACTGATGACTTCCATGCTTATCTCCACCACTAACTCTTCTCGGTTTACATTACTCAGCGCTCTGCTTGAGCAAAAACAGTGGCCATTTTGTGAAGAAGCTAGTTAGTAATGGCAGTTTTGACAACACATATGTTAGACATTATCCTGCATTTATACTGACTCCTTCCCAGAAAAGCTTTTACACAACAGGAATTCAGAGCAAGCGCTCGAAACCTGACAGTCAAGACCTGCAGTCGAAACCATGCCTTTCGCTGATCAGAAGTACGCACTACAGTTAAATAAGAACACCCAGCACAGGCTGTGCTCAGCTATACTTACACATCCGCTCCTATCTGCCCCTCCTGCCCAGTCTCTCCCCAGTGATGGCAGAACTGCTGCTCGTGTGTAAACATATCCACTGACTTGTGCACAGCAAAGTGCATCTTGCTCTCTGAGCACGTATGCTAGCAAAGCACATTTCGCTGGTCCCTGGAGTACGTCCGTAAAATCTCTTGTGAGTCATCCATCTCACATGCATCAAGTTTTTAGGGAGCTGAAGACAGCAGCTGCAAAACAGACATTGTTCAGAAGTGGAAACACAAACATTTTCCCTTGCTAAAGGCCCTGTGCGATATACGTTCAACTGGCAACTGCAGAAGCTGGTTTCTAGTCTTGCCCTAGTATCTACCGATTCACATCTCTGTGAGCTTCGAAGCCCCGATAGCAAACTGGTATCACAAGCAAGCAAAGAAGTGGTAAGAGATGGTGAGGCAGCACTGTCATGAAGATCAACTATTTACTGTATGGTTCAGTATAGTCAAGCACAGAGCCTGCTCTAAGCACTGACCAACATAAACACATTACTTATTCAACCAGAAAAAAAGCGGGGAGTTGTTAAAGGCCATGGCCTGAACGCACTGATTGATTTATACTGTAAGATTTTATCCCTCCCTGTCATTTTTTACGTGATCAAGCAGCAGAGAAGTCAAGTTTCTTGTTTAAAAGGCCATTATCATTACTTATAGAATGACAATTCAGTAGGAACAGAAGGGGTTCCACTACTGATCCCTCGCTGCCCAGTTCAGCCACAGGATAGCAAATGAGAAGTACAACACTTCAAGATCCTCTCAGAAACCAGGGCTCATCTATACCAATGCAAACCTTCAGCGCTACACTTGAAATATACGTTAGGCAACACGCTATCTCAGAAAGGCACTGGGAGTAACATCCCAGAGCTCATACATAAACCACACAGCTAGGAGCTGTCCCAGGAGATGTCCTTCCTCCCCAGGGAAACATTCCCTTTCAGCCCCCTCGTCCCCACCCAAACCAGTCTTACTGACAAGGCAGTTATGAAAATGAGCGCATATTTAAACTCTCGAGTCTACAAGTGTTCAAAGTTTCACCTCGTGGTACAAGAAAGCCCAAAGCAGCATTTAAAAACCATGCACGGCACTGCTATTAAAAACGAGCCAACCACAAAAAGCCCCATTCTCTGAACAAAACCTGGCAAACCTTCTTTGAGGGATACACAGTATCTGACCCGGCAAAAATCAAAGTCGAGCCTACATTATCAAACCACAGAAGTAAACCTGACAACGTTCTTGCAAGCAAGTTTCTTTTCATGTCGAGATGAACTTGAAAGGGGCCAAATGGTACACCTCAAGCTTTATTAAACAGACTCATCTCACAAGCTGTTAGTAAACCCAGGGACATCGCCCATGGCTTCCTACCTTGGTAACAGCCCACCTACGCAGCGCACGCATTATCTGCCCACTCCCAAGCAAGGTGGTTGCTGTACCGAAGCGACCCGAGTGGGCACCTTTGAAGTAGAAAGCTGAACATCTTTGCTGCAGTAGCTTTCATGTTCAAAGCGGTCACAACAGAGAGCGAGGAAGCCATTGCTCTAAAAACATTACAGTGCGTGTTTCAAAGATGAACGGCTCCATTATATAATTAACTTTCAATGTGAGTTATTAGACAGAAGGGAATTTCATACAGAACTCAGGCATATCAAGCGTCCATCCCTCATCTGTTGTATGTGGGAAGTGAGAAGCCTCATAGTGTGTTCCTGCGTTTAAAAAAAGTAGCTGTGAAGGCCATAAAGAAAAAAAAAAAAAGAGGATTATTTTAACAGTAGCAGTGGCCCTGTTCTTCCCACATGCGCCCCCTGTCAATGAGTGACAGCACTCATCGCCAGCCTCACTGCACCCCATTCATTCCCAGGCTACACACGCTGCCCCAGTGCTGGAACATCCAAGGAAGGATTTCCCTTCGCAGCAGCAACGGCCGGAGCTGGAAGACAAGCTCCTGGCAGAGGGAGCACCTTTGTGCTTTCTCTCACTCCATCCCTTGCACGAGAAGGAAAAAGGACAGAGAGGGCAAACCTGTATCAAGCTACAAGGTGCAATAGGTCTCTCATTATGCCTTAGAGCCATCTCAGCAGGTAGCTGAGCACAGGTTCCAGCTCCTTCTTTCAGTCTCTCTAGGGCTGGGAACACCTCTCCAGTAAGAGCCACTTATAACCCCCCTGATGCCTTAATTTTTGCAACATAGGCACCATTTGGAAATACTTGGCCGAGACGGACAGGATGAGACAAAAAAGAAATGAGATCAAGTTTGCCTTTGGTGAGTTATTGTAGGTGTTTCAGATTGCAAAGACACATTCTGAGACCACGTTTCACTCGGGAGACTGGGAACAACAGCAACCACAAATCCAGCAAAACCCATAACGTTTTGCTGGTAATGACCTGTAACTTAACTACTAGCAGGAGCTCCCATTTGCCAGATGTGCAAATGCACTATTCACACCACTCCTTCCAGCACAACAGAGCCCAGCTGCAGCTGCGTGATAAGCAGAGGGTACCTCACACTACCTTCTAAAACTGATCGGATCAAAGCAGAGAAGAGATTCCCATCCAGTAGCAAGACATACAGAAGCCTGTCTTTCTTCTTTGCAAACTGCTTACTAGAACTTCTGGGGAACTCTGAACACACCTGCAGTACCATACAAGCTATACAGCCAAAAATAATAAAAAAAACCCAAACAAGACAAAAGCTTCAAGTAACCAATTGTAACTCACACCAGTTAACAAATACAGCACTTGGTTTATTTTTGTTCTCAACTGAAACAGGACTCAGTAGGTTCGTTACCTGCAACCAAAGTACTCCATTTCAAAAGTGAGCTTCCAGGCACAGAGACTTGCAGCAAGAAGTCTTCAGATGTACAGTGTTTATATCATACAGAGCACACAATAAATTACTATCTACATGCAACATACCTACAAAAAGTTACATACAAGGTAAAAAAATACAGTATTTTCTGCTCATTTTTTGTTTTAAATTTTTTTCTGTACATTTTTTAATTTACATTTTTATATACATTTTGTAAACTTTTTGTATTTTTATAAAACTGAAATCACATAACAGTTACAACCTCACAGCACCGCTCTTACCATTCTAAAACAATGCTTGTTTCTACAAAACAGCCTTTAGCTTGTTCGCTCCTTCATTTCTACTTTGGCACCAACACACTTCACACCCTTATTCTGAGCTAATTAGTCCGCTCGCTACCTAACCGTGTTCTCAATATGGAGAAACACAATCATACTTCAATTTGTGCTTCAATAATAAAGTTCAGAAAAAAACATTAACTACTTCATCAACATCACATTTACCTGATATTACTGCATTATGTCAACTTTTCCTGCACTAACTGCTTTATATAAGCATGCAAACAAGTCAGATTATGACTCAATTAATAACATGAATATACTGAAAAACAATTACAAGGATTAAATATTAAAAGGAATGTAGACTTATCAGGATTTACCATGTTAATAAGTCTAAGCTAATAGTATGGATTGACGTGTTAACAGTTAAGATTTTAAACACACTGAAGTATACAACGTGAAAAACATCTGTATTAAAGAAAATACAAAATTACTCCCTGCCATACACTTTATATTATCCTTTAGTGGAAAACTAGTATTGACTAGAAACCTCCTTCTTACCACGCATACTCCTGTTGTGAAATAGGGATTCCTGAAGTTTATAAAAACCAAGCTTTAAAAAATAAATAAATCCACCTGGAATACACAACTCAGGATCCTGCTGGAAAACACATTTCTGAGGCTGGGATAATAAGTTTGAACACACACCTTAACACAGAACTGCTGCACCTATTATTTGGCCCTTTTGACGGTAAATCATTTCAGCCTTGTACTACGTATACATATCCTTCCACATAACCTACCCAGCCCATTTGATCTAATCCCAAAATACTGGAAGAGTAGAGGTGCCCTCAAGAAGACTCCAATCCAACCTCCTGCTCAAAGCAGGGTCAGTGCTGCATTCAAGCCAAGCTCGGGGTTTTGTCACGTTGAATCCTGACAACCTCCCAGGACAAAGACCACACAGCCCCTCTTGGTCCACTCCCATGCTTGACTGCCCCCATGGAGTAAGCTTCTTCCGTTAACTGAGAACTTCACATTTGTATTTAATGAAATCCTCTCATTCTTGCTCCACGCTTCTCAACCGAGACCCTGAAATAGTCTCCTCCTCAGTGACCTCCTCTTAGATACCAAAAGGCTGCTGTTGAATCCTATTTTCCACCCCGCAAAGGCCACTGTGCCAGGCTCAATAAGCTCATTTTGCTTAGCCTCTAAGTGTCCCAAATCGCTTAACCATCTTGGCAGCTTCCTGTTGGACTTGCACAAGTTGATCAACGTCTTGAGCCTAAAACTGGACACTGTTCCAAATAACAATAAATGCTGAGTCAAGGGAGGAAAAAAAAAACCCTACTGCCCTTGATCTGTTGGCTACGCTCCTGTTAACACAGCCCAGTATGCCATCAGCCGTCATCGCTGCCGGGGCACAGTGCTCATGTGTTTAGCTGCTAAGCATTTTGGACTATCAGGTACAGGACTACATTTATGCTTGTTTACAAGAGAACTATACATTAACTTTTTTGCTGAACTGGGGACCTGAAAGGGATTTTTTTTTTTCTTCCTTCAAATGACAACAACAAAAAAACCCCACAAGGCAGGCATTCAAAGCATAAATATACCACAGCAATTCTTGCCTTAATACAGTTTACAGATTACCACCTCATTTATTATTGCCAAAAGACTACGGTGCATTAAAAAAATCACAACCTAATACAATCAAGACTTCATGCTAAGACCGACAGCTAAGAGTTTGCCACTTTGCTTTAGGTTTGAGTTCAAAGAAGAAGGTGCCTTCCAGATCACTCGGAGGAGAACTGCTAAGGCTTTCTTCTCCGCTGCTCATATCTTCGCAGGAGTCTTCACTAGAAGGAACAGTAGGAAAGGTAATTTAAACAAAGCACAACCCCTTGAAAGTGGCAAAGTACTCCTCAATCCTGTGTTTTCTTGCATGTTTTTCTGCTCCTAGTATAACATGCCAGATCTAAACACTTCTCAGCACTAAGGCTTAAATCATAACGAAGTACAATTTCCTTTTTCCTGTTGCCAAAAATCTCCTACCAACCAAGAAGCCTATGTTCAAGACATCAAATATAAATTACTTCAGAAGACTGCAATGCTTTATAACCCCGTCTTTAAAAAAAAAAAAAGGAACACCTCCACCCCAACAAAGCAGTTGTACTTTCTGAACAGCACAATCAGTTCCACATTTTCTTCTCTTCTGTTTAAAATATATTTTAAGTCCACTGGTATTTTCAAAGCTAGCAATACTTTTTTCCAATTAGTACTGAATAAGCCCAGTTATACAGAGTTGCCGTTAATTACTTCCAGAAAATGAGAATTCCCAACAAATTAAACACCTGGTAGAAGTTTTACCAACCTCTCGCTTTCATTGAAGCATCCACCCTCTGGGATTGTGGGCAACTCAGGAACACTGTAGTAACTGTTTTGTAGATTCTGGGCTGTACGTCTCGAAACAATCCAAACTAGCTTTTTATGATCAGGCTTGCAACATTCTGGAGAAGAATAGTCTGCTAGGCATTTTGAGACCAGTTCCCTCCAGTAAAGTAGGTCACTATCACTTATCTGAAAAGCAAAATATGAACCTATTTATTTTATTACACACAGGCCCTAAAGATAGCCCCTCCCTCCATTTTACGTTCTGAGAAAAGACTTGAAAAAAATACCAGTCAACATATGAGCCGTAACTGTGATACCTTTGTCAAAGCTGGGCTGCTTTTGAAGGTGAACTCCTAAACACTTCCTAGAAATGTCCACGTTGAAGTGTGAGTTGACAGTTTGCCTGTCAGCTGCTGTTAACATTTTTATTTTCACTTCCAAAGGAAAAATGAAACCATGATTATTCCATTTTGAAATGGAATAATGTAATACTTTAAGGAACTACTTCCACACCTCAAGAAACCGGGTTAGTTCAATTTGACTCTAAGAGTGAAAAAGCTTGTTTTAGACCATCAACTGATACAGCATGCAGCTAGAAGCTGCAAATCCTATGTTAATTATTCAGGCTAAGAGAACAACAAGCTCAGCAGTCGTTGTAGTCCCACGAACCGATTGGAAGTTTCTCTAGAACATACAGCTAGAACTGTACAAGCTAAATCAGCTGCTTGTTAAAGCATGTACTGTGTAGTCATTAGGTCAGCATTTCTTCTGATTTTATACATTTAAGCTAGTTTCTTTTAAACCATAATCCTTTTACTTGCCAAGTAGCCACCAAGATGTGTCAGTATGAAACCACTACCCAACCTCATGCTCTAAGCAGCAGGTTTTTTTGCATTTGGCATTCTACCAAAGAAGCAATATTAGTTGCAGGAGTTGCAGGCATATGCTTAAAGACCCATTTCATTGCTCATTTCAGCTGATGCCAAACAGCACCTGTAAAGATTGTAAACTGACAGCAGCAGTCCCTTAGATCAGTCCCAACAACTGCAAAGACAATCCACAGGAAATATTTACCTTAGAATGCTTCTGAACTCGAAGAAGGATCTCAAACAGCTCAACAGATTTCAAAGTCTGAACTTCTAGAGTGAGAAGGCACAAGGCCAAGACAGATGGCTAGAAGGACAAAAAGAAAAAAAACCACATCGCTCAGCATAACATGAATCAAAACCTACCGAGAAGTCAAAGAAAGCCACTTCTACTTACTTTAGCTTTAGAAAAGACCAGACGACAGTTGCAAGCTTTTAGCTGTGCTTCCAATTTGTCAAGATTCAATACTTCTTTCCTGTAAGACACCCAAGAGAGAAAGCATTTGGATCAACAAGCATTCACTTGGTAAGAAGCAAAAACTAAGGAGCTGCCTCCTCTACAGCTACTGCCATAATCACTTAAGAGGCAACTGAAGAGAGAAAGGGCTTAGCAATTAGGTAAACCACAACCGTGTAACTCAACTGACCTTTCTGAGGTATGACAGAGTACAATAGTATGGTACAAGTGCAAGAAGGTTAAGGCAGTAGTAGCTTTAAATTCAAAGTGCAACTTTTCTGAAATTATCTTTTCCATCCGTTTCAGGTCGGACACAGTGCATTTACATTGGCTGATCCGGATGATCTCATGAGCAGATGGAATATTGCATTCTTCTTCGACTACTCGGGCAGCCAGCTGGAAACAGCAAACTCCAATACAAGATAAATGCTTTGGTTTCACCTAAAAACAAAAGGAAGCACTATGAATACTTCTCCCGCCATAAACACTGTGGTTATCAAACAGCAACACAAACAGCTCACCCAGTGAGCTGTTTAGAATATTCATAGGTCAATAAAGATTTACGTAGCTCAACTAGACCTGACACCAGTCAGCTCATACACCTCACCTAGTCATAATTTGGTTTATCACTTAAGTTTCAGTGAAACATACCTGGCAGAGCCAATAAAGCAGTATCAACCTACCATAGCTAAGTCAGAGGAAGTGAAGTTCAACAGCTGAGCACCCTCTGTTGAAATCGCTGCTCCACATCACTACACAAGTGAACTGCAGTGAGAACTGCAATCCCCCGCCTCTCCAAGCAGCAGTGCTCACGTACATTCATTTACAGCCTACACAAATCCAGCCTGAGCCTGTTCTAGGCAGTCCTATCCCTCCACAACTCGTTCCTACCTCTGATATTCTCTCCCATGTACCAGCATAACATTTTGTGCAACCTCAAGGCCAGTCAGACCAGAGAACTGATGCAACTTTAGTTTTTCTGCCAATTTAATAATGGGGAAGTGGTTTAGGTTCAAATTGTCTGCCATAAAGCAGCACAAACACAGTAAGAAAAACATCCAGAGAATGTTCATTTGGTGTTAGTTCGGGCATCAAGCTAAGCTTAAACACAGTACCTAGAAACAGTCTGTAACACAAATTGTTTTGTTCCTTCTTAATTTCTCTTTTCTTAGTCTTTTACATCTACGTGATGAAGGCTACAGACTTAGAGGAAATAAACCATGCTGCTACATGCCTTTAAAGGTAAAAAGAAACCATAGTATAAAACAGTTAATAAATCACAGCAATGTAATCTCATCTTTCACGCAAGAACTGTACTCAACTTCGAGCTTACAAAGGACTTCAGAAATGTTGCCAGCATAGAATGAGAAAATAGCCACAGTTATCTCCTAGATCACAACCTTCCCCTTTTTATCAGACAAAAAAGTTCACAGGAAGCTCGCATATTCCCAGCTGACACTATAGCAGATCCTCCCCCCAACAAAATACCTTCATAAGAGCCAAGAATCTGTCCAGAATATTAGCAGCCAAAACAAACGTTTCAGTTGCAAAACCAAAAAAGTTGGTCAGACTCCAAAGATCTTCCACCTTGGCATTCCTTTGTCTTGGACACAGCGTATTTTCATTCTATGACAAGAAAAGCAAAGTCAGAAATATTCAGCGGCAGCAGTGATGACTGCAACCACTCACTCCCAGTCATCTTTTACTTAGATCAATGGGAAGCAATTATTTTCTTCCATAAATACTTTATTTCTCTTAAAAAAATAATTTAGATACTTGAGATTCAAAACACACGCCCAAGGTTCAAGGATTACAGCAGGTCCTGAGTCTCACTGCTGCAATACCCAGCACAACCACATTTCAAAGTACATACTTGTTATTTTAAGACAATAGTTACCAAATGCATGCAATACGCAGTGACTCCTGACCTTATGGTAACAGAGATGACCAACCTCAGCTTAGTCTGCTCTCTGCCTACATGTCAATATTTAAGCAACAAAAGTTCTGCTTTTAAAACAAACAACCAGACTGATTTCAGAAGCTTTGTAAGCCTGCCCTAAACTCAGTAAGGAACTCTGGTCATTAACGTGGAAATGTTTATGCATAGTTCATTTCTTGCTGTTAAGCACTGAACGTTTCTAGGTTCATTTCCCTATACCTTGCTAATGACAAGCAAGTCACTTCCCCATTTGCTAACTGAATACGTGACATCCCAGCTTTCCCGCAGAGGTACAATACAGCGGTATAAAGTTCCCGAGATGAAAATAACATTCTTCTCTCTGTTCTGGGTTCACTCGAAGTTTCAACAATAAGCACCTAAATATTTTACTTGCCCTGTAGGTCATAGTTCTCTGACAATGTAGTAGTGTATGCTGATCAGTATAGATGAAGAGAGAGTTAAAACAAACGGCAAGCGCCGTTTACAGAGGAAAAAAATAACTTTCCGAAGCTGATGCACATTTATCTCCCCTCTAGCTCATTTTTTTTAAAAAAAGGGTATTTCCTGCCCTTAAGACGCAGCTTTACCCAACCCCCCCAGTCCCCCCTTACCCACTCCCCT